GGGAGCCCGATGCGGGACTCGATCCCGGGACTCCAGGATCACGACCTGAGCCGAAGGCAGTCGCTTAACCGACTGAGCCACCCAGGCGCCCCAATGTCTAATTTTCTTTTTTTTTTTTTTTTAAGATTTTATTTATTTATTTGAGACAGAATGAGAGAGAGAGAGCATGAGAGGGGATAGGGTCAGAGGGAGAAGCAGACCCCCCGCCGAGCAGGGAGCCTGATGCGGGACTCGATCCCGGGACTCCAGGATCACGACCCGAGTCAAAGGCAGTCGCTCAACCAACTGAGCCACCCAGGCGCCCCAATGTCTAATTTTCTTAAAAACATCTTTTGGGGCCAGACACGTAGGTTCGCGCACTTGGGCGCACAAACACACACCCACCTTCTCTGGCTGTGTGCCACCACGCCACACCCTGGCTTCGGTGTGACAGTAAAGAAGGAGGTTCGTTTGGAGAGGAGCGACTTACCTTCAGGGCGTCCTGGGTGTCGTCCAGACAGTAGACTCGAACACTGTACTCCAGAGAGGAGCAGCAAAGGGGCCCGAAGATGGCCAGCTTCAGGCGCTTCGCGGCAGCTTTGGTGGTGGACTGCCCTACCAGGGCGTAGGTGCTGAGGCTCTCTGTGAGGAGGTGGCAGGCCTCTGCATCCAGCTGAATGTAGCAAGGGGTGGTGAAGTTTTCCTCCCCAACCACCACCACATCCTGAAGGACAGGAAGGAAGGGGCCATGGCTGAGCCACCGCGGGTCCCACTGGCTGCCATGATGGGTGGCCAGGCAGACAGAGCAGCACCTCTTCTGCTAAGTGCGATCATCCTTTTCTCTGTATTTTTTTGTTCCTTTCTCAGGCTTTGTTATACCCTATTTCCATTCTTAATCATTCTCTCCCTTCCCCTTGCCTTCATACTGCTAATATTTTTTATTTAGATGTCCCCTATTTAGCATTTTTTCCATCTGCGAGTCTACATTACTAGAATTGACATAAAATTCCAGAAGAAATTCATGAATTATCCTCTTAATTTCAGTGTACCTGAGTTTATTACCCATTTCTGAGAATTTAATGTTTTAATCTCTGAGTGTCTGATTAAATCTAAAAAGTACTGTTTTCTTTCTCTCTTTTTTTTTTTAAGATTTTATTTATTTATTTGACAGAGAGAGAGTGAGCACAAGTAGGGGGAGCTGCAGAGGGAGAGGGAGAAGCAGGCTCCCCAGGGGGAGCCTGACTCGGGGCTCGACCCCAGGACCCCGGGATCACGACCTGAGCCAAAGGCTGACACTTAATGACTGAGCCACCCAGGCACCCCCCAAAAAGTACTGTTTTATTTCAATGTCATTATAGAGTAGTAAGTTTTTCCCTAAAAATCTAGGGGTTTGAAAAGGTTTAGAGAAATTAAGGAACTATGCAATACCATTCACTGTGTTTTTCCAAACTCACCTGTCAATTACTTTTCAAAGCAATACACTGCTTTTTCTCAATAATCTGGGCTGCTAGACCCTAGGGTAAGTACAATATAGCAAACTCGATGCTTTTCTCTGGTTAAACAGCCTATCCTTTTAGCTTTTGAAAATATTTAGCAAGAAATAAAAATAAATGGAAGTGCTGAATATTGTTAAAATAGTTACGAACTCAACTAAGTTTTGATTTATTCAAATGACTCAGGCCACAGAAGAAAATCATCTGAAAGACCAAGTGTAGGACCCATAAACCAAGGGTCAAAATTCCACGTGCGTCCCAGGGCAGCCAGGTAATAGGTATCAGGTAGGGCAGAAGACAATAGGAAGTGGGGGAGACTGGGGTAAAGCGGAGCACAAGCTGTCTAAAGAGCTCTGTCTCCACTGGGCTCAGCCCATCACAGCTATGCAGACATGCAGGCCCAGTAAGAAAACCACCTTGACTTTTTCAAGAGAAGCTGGAAGTTCACATTTTTATGTGAAAATTTCCAGCTTGTAATTAATTCAAATTTAAAAGAAAACTCCACATGGGAGAAGTAAAGTACATGTGTGGGCCTGATTCCACCTCCGCACTAGGCTACTTTCTCTCCACAGAGGTAGGAACTACATCTGCTTTGATTCCTACCGTAGCTCAGTGGGCCTGGCTCATGGGGAGCAAACGGCTATTTGTCAAAAAAAAAAAAAAAAAAAATGAATGAATGTGTCATCATAAATTGAGTCTCTGGGGCTGAACAAAGTGGTTGTTTATTAACTAGGCCTTGCAACATCATCTGACGGGTAGTAGGAGGGGGGTTAAATGCCATCCACGAAATCATTTCTTCAACTGTGCCTGTCCTCAAAGATGAAGCTCAAACTGCACTGGCAAAGAGAGAAAGAAACTCAGTACCTTCAGGTTTATTTTAGCCCCAAAGGACACCTGGAAAGAAGTGCCTTTTTTTTTTCCTCCAGCAGAGTGAGGGCAAGGCTCAAATATCCCATGAGGCATGTCACAGAAAGCTTCCAGTAAGACATGGTTGAGAATAAAGATGCACCATGTCCCTGCCATGGGTGGAAGAGCATACTCTTAAGCATTGCCCTCTTCTACTCTTCCCGTCTCTTTATTTCATTTTATTATTTTTGTTACTGTTATTATTACTGAAGTCTAGAAATAGACAGGTATTAGGGTATTAAGCAGAGTCTTACGCAAACAATTTAGAATCACTTGAGATTAAGACTTTGGGATGTTTTCGAGATAAATCATTTCAAACTTAAATGGACTGGAAGTTAGATCTGGTTAAGTCTGTTCATAACCCAACATAAAGCATACCCTTAGACTTGAGTCCTGGACTTTCAGTCCTCTGGCAAGGAGTGATCCCCTCATGTGGCCAAGAGAACATGTCCTTAGGGAGGAAATTACAGTAATCCCAGGGATGCCTTTCTAATTGTAATACTGCTTTTTTCCTATAATATTAAAGGCTTGAAACTTCATGTACATTTTTTTCTAAAAATGTTTTTCCTAAAAGAAAAATACCACAAGCAATCACAAAGTATATAATATATAGGTTGGATGCTTTGTAACGATCCAAAAAAATACAGGGGTAGCTTTCAAAACTATTAGACATTTTTTGATAAACATATTCCTGAAATATGTCTTCTTGAGAATATTCTAAAATGTAATGTTTAATTTGGCTATTTCCCACTTAAACAACAGATACTGTCTTTTCAAGAGGTGACGATGCAAACACACAAGATGGTTTTCTAGTTACTAGGTATAAAATCTTCATGGTAAATCTAACAAATTCTTTTGCTCGTAACTTCAGGTGCTAATTGAAGAGTTCTGATGTAAAGAACAGGATCTGTTTAAGGCACTGTCCTTAAGAAGTTATGATGGCAACAGCCACAGAGAGCCAAGACACCACAGGTGTTCTTCATCCTAGTGGAGCTTAGGAGATGCACCCTTTCTGTTTTCCCAAGTTCAGCTCAGAAGAACTGTATTCCCTGTATGTGTCTACAATGTCTACCATTTTCTGACCCAGGAGCAATGTTTCTCTAACTACAAATTTAAAAAATATATAGATGTTTCCCAACCCAAGACATAGTATGTATGTTCTGACAGGGACTTGTGTAAGACTCTCAAGTGTACTTTCCCTAGGAGTTAGCTAATGCTTGACCATCATTTTCATTGTGCCTACCCATCAGTAGATAAAGCATTCAGGAACTAGGCTCTCTCCCTCCCTCCGTTCTTCTCATACACTCTCTCCCTCTTTCTCTCTCTCCTTTTGAGTGTAAGCTAAAATTCCATTCATGTTCTGCTTTCAAAATAAAAGCCTTCTTTCCCATAATTACTCCAGTTTGTCTGCATGAATTGCTCTTGTGTTCCATCTTTAACCCAATGGAAGCTCACCTCCCACTGTCCCTGTGCTGTCTGGTTCTTGAGTTGTATCTTCCAGTCCTCGGTGTTGGGGTCTGCGCAGTGATGCATAGTGAGGATGACGGGGCGGGTCAGCAGGGCTCCTGGAGGCCCACAGCTCACCACAGGGGTCAAGAGTGTCTGGCTGTCTTCCATGGCTGGCCTAGGAGAAGAGCAGAGACTGGCATCAGTGACATTTCCATAGCATCCACTTACTATGTACTCATTGAGATTTTTAGATCTGAAGTTGTACAAATTGTTTCTTCTTGGGAGTTTTTGTTTTTTAGTTTTTTCGGTTGGGGGAGGAGAGGCAGAATTAAATGGGAAGACATGTCCTTTATACCAAGACTTTATTTAATCTTCAAGACTGGAGATACTTATGATAAGAGTGAATCAGCCAGTATCTCTTTGATCCCCTTCCCCCAGACACAGGTCTGCCTTTGGTAATGTCCTCTGAATTCATGTACTGATACTTTTAGGATGGAACAAGAAGGAACAGAGTCCTTAGGAGGTACATATCCATCTTTTCTGATAATACTTGCCATTGCTCTTACAGGGTTTTATATACTTTTATTTTTTTAAGACCTAACTTGAGAAATACTTCAAAAAAAAAAATCACTTCAGAGTAAGGACACCCTAGAGCTACACTTCCAAATGACTTTCAGGAACAATTCAGGCTAGTAGAGCAGATTCCTTCTTTCAAATATGACCAGACAGAATATAGAACTGTATTCTATAGTTCTAGAATTTAAAATGAAATCTACTTGTATATTTCCTACTCAGAGAATCTGGGTGGAAGAACTTCAAAGATCTAAATCAAAGATCTAAATTCTTTATCTCCACATGTTTTCTTAATTGTCTTAAGACCTTTCCCTAACATGACTGTAATCAACAAACAAATGGAAAAATTAACCCAAGGTATCAGTTGATATGTGAGCAACAGTCCCAAATTATTGAACGGATTGCCCAAAGTCTTAAAACTGACAAGTGCTAGCACTGGGACTAAAGCCAATGCCTTCTCAACAACAATACTCAACACTACTCTGTCGGAACAGTGTGGCTAAGAAATCATGAACTCAGAGTTCCAGAGGAAGCAGGGCCTCCGGGGTCAACAGCACCACCTTCTATCCGAAGTAGGAACCCTTCTACAATATGCTGACATCTGGACAGTGCTTTGGACACATCCAAAATTGTACTCCACTACTATTGAGGGTCACCTCATCTATTATCAATTCAAATTTACAAAACGTTCTTAGGATAAACACAATCTGCCTTCCCGACACTTCTCTTCACATATCTTTGGCCTGCTTTCTCTCTACTTCGGCATCAGAGCCTTTCAAATATCCAGAGATTGTTATGATGCCTCTAAAACGTCTTATTTCAGACAAAATATCCTCAATTTTTCAACCTCAACTAGAAAAGCATGGTTTACAGATATCTCCCTATATTTCTATCTTCACTTTTATATAGATGTCTGTTAGTATTCCAATGTCTTCTCTAAAGTGAGGCATCTGGAAATGAATATTAGACTTAAGTAGGCAGCAGAGGGGGACTACTATTTTCCTTGGTTTGGAATATGTAGTTATATCAATGCCTCACCAAATTGTTGCCTTATATTATTCTCAGTCAAGTAATTATTTATAAGTATTATTGCAGGCTTGAGTTACAAAGGAAGATGGAGATAATATGGTTAAGCATCTCCTTTATAAAATGAGGCAATGAAGCTCCAAGAAGGTCAAGTAATTTGTTAAAGCTAACCACTCTGTGTATTCCTAACATGAAAGGCTCTTAGGCTAGCTCTCTATAGTTTTGTGGTTGCAGTGATGGCTTTTGAACCTATGTACAGAAATTTATATTTAGCCATTTAATTTCACCTTAATAGTTTCAGAGCAAATTTCAAGTCACCTATTTCTTAATGCTGTCTTTCCTCCAAATATCGGCCAACTCTTCCAGTCTTTTAGCTTCCATAAATCTTATATGCCTGCCATTTATGTTCTCATTCCAATCATTGATAACACTGTAGTACAAGAATAGGGCAAAGACCTTTACAAAGATACTACTTGAAACCTCTCTCCGGTCTGACACCTATAATCTGAATTTGTTGGTTTAGCCAAATATAAACTAATCAAAATATACATTGTCCAATTCACATCTTTCCATTTCATTCACTTGGATATTATAATGGACATATCAAATTCCTTTATAATTGTGATGGCCACTTGGAAAGGATTTTCCTCTAAGATTTTTTTCTTTATCTATAGTTAATATATTAAATACTAAATAATCTACAAGTTAGCTTATATCTATAGCTTACTCTAATTTAACACTCAGGGAATGATGGCACCTGTTTTATTTATATTTATATATACATTGTTGGAAGATAATTCTCCATGGGTCTTTCATGTTTCTGCATGTCTTTTCAAGACAACTGTATAGCAATCACCTTGGAAGATAAAGATACTGCTTATCTTTGGAGCAAATGGCAAGCATGTCTACTTCCCATTATAAAAAACTCAGGTTCTCCAAGCTCAGAGGTCCTTCCTGGAATGCAACCACTGAGTGTGTAGATATCATCTGATCCTCTCTGCATCTCCCTTTTGGAAATGGGGTTTTGGGAATTGGCACAAAAATGATAAAACTCTTGATAGTGCTATTGCTGTGAGTAACAAACTGTCCTTTGTCTCTGACCCGGGAGTCTTGTGTCATCTATCAGCATCCACAAAACTGTGGCGGCTATGGTAAGGTCAAATCTTAGAGAGTCATTAGCTCTTGACAATCATTATCCTTTTGACATATTTGACATATTTTCTCCTTAATAAAACTTGGGTTATCACTGCTTCTTCTCATTCTAAAATTTCACAAGGATCTCACCAACCTAGGGCTTTTCTTTCTTCTTATTTAGAAAATAAAAATAATTTTTATCTCCTTTTAGTCTTTACCCTCTTTCCATCTTCAATGAATAAGGACACAGTTTTATTAAATCTAAAGTTATCAAAGTACTTGGAAATATACTTTTTGGAATAATAAGATTATTGGCAGCTTGAGGAGTCTTTACCACCCCCTTTATCGCTTAGTTTTGATTTCCTCTTAACCCAGTCTTTCTTCCTTCCTTCCATTCTGAAATTCATTCTCTTAGTACATGGGTGAAGTTCTGGTTTCATTGTGGTGTAGTTGATATTATACTATCTGTCCTAAGCAGTAGCCTTATTCTTGCTAATTCTACTTTTCCTACCATGGCGGAAAAAAAAAAAAAATAGCAGTGACTACATTTTTGTGAGCACTACTGTTACCTTTTAGCTACAAGTGTACCTTGAGAAGTGAGCATTAAACTTTTAAGGAAGGAGATTTAAGTGGGATCCATTTCAAGTGGTCCTTGCAATATAGTTGGAGATTGGAAACATCTGTCTCTCAGTCTGCTGTTAGCAGCCGGTGCTTGAGGCAGAAAGAGGAGGGGTTCTTCTCATCACTGAGTTGGAACAGAAGGGAGAAGCCTCCCTGCTGGGTTGGGGAGCTGTCAGACCTGTACTCTCCAAGCACACCCCTGGCATGCAATATTGATGGGCACCATTCTTGGAGGAGGGATAGCAAGGGAAGGAAGGGGCAGTAGGTGTCAAAAGAATTTATTAACCCAGTGAGGTGCAAGAATGTAATGAATAGGGAAGTGGTGAAGTGGAATTCATAATGGGGAATGAAAAACAAAGAAGAAATAATGATAAGAATCTTTTTGTTTTCAAGATGAAAGAAGTAGTGTTGAAATTGGAAACATTTCCAAGCATATATGGAAGGAGTGACTTAAGGAAGATTAAGATTTAACTATGTGAAACCAAAGGTCAGGGCATTTAAATCCACATTTCCTTTCTTTACATGAAGAGAAGATATTAAAATACACAGAACAAAACTAGTGGAAAATAAATATAAATAAGCCTGACTCCTGTTTTTGCAGAGAGCTCCACTCCTGTATGTCTTATGTGTTACCTGAGATATTTCAGCTAACATTCTCTAAATATTAACTGCAGATGACATGGAAATGAACACAAAGCAAAAATCAGCTGCAGAAGCAGCTCTTAAGTCAAAAGTCAGTAATGAATTAAAGTTTTCAAGGCTTTTCAAAGTCCAGAGAGGAGAATGTGGTAAATGCTGGATGGATTCTGAAGCCTCTGGGACAAAGCCCCTCAGAGAGGAGTTTGAGTTTCCTGTCAGAGTGATTTTCTCATCCTTTGCTTGCTGTTATCAGTGAGGAGAACTTCTCCTACACAGAAGGGCATACATTACAAAACTTTCATAAAAGCAACTGCATTTGCTGCTTACGGCACACCTGTAAGGGAATTAGGGTAAGTATTTGTATCACTTCTTTTTCCAGAAGAGGAAACTGAAATCTAGAGATATTAACACACTCGCCTAGGGCCTCAAAACTAGTAACAGGCAAAGCTAGATTTCAAGCACAAGTGATCTGGTTTCTTTCATACAGTGGTGTCTGTGGGGTTGCTTATCTGATTTAGGGCCTTGAGACTTTTTTTTTTTTTTTTTTGGTTTATTTGCTAGAGCAAGCTCAAAATTACTTCTTGAAGAGAATCTATCTCCATCCACCTCTTTGTGGAGACAAGATGCCTTCTATTAACATACATGTCTTTTGTCAGGTCCCTTAGGATGACAATCCCACCCGAGGCTCAGCTGCCTTTTGAAGCACACGGTTTCACATATAACTGGCAACTTGAAATATTTGCACTCTGGGTATCTGACAGGGAATATCTAACTCAATTGTTATCAAAAGCTCAATTGAGCAAAAAAAAAAAAAATATTTATGGAAGCCACTCTGAAGGGCATGCCACCATTTCCCTAGACAAGCCAGAATCTATCCCTGGGTGAAGCCAGAACAGCTAAGTATTATGCTCTGACTGAACTGACGAATTGTTGTGGAACTATTTTACTGAATTTCTGCCTGGGCCTTATACCATCTACTTACATGGCAGGACACTAACAGAAGGGAAGGAGCCCTGTGAAAACTCATTGCTATTTTTATTTTAAGGATGTTGTTCATTGTATTAACAAAAAAATGTTTTCTTTATGTGGAACAAAAGGAGAAATAATTGAACTTCTTTTGGGCATATTTTTCCTCATGGACACATGGATTTTGTAACTTACCACGTTCCCCTCTTGAA